ATGTCAAATAAGGCCATATTTAGGATGCTCTGTCCGGCCGACGCCATTTGAGGCGGTTCCCGATGGAATTTTTTGATGAAAGTTTTTGAGAATCTTATTCATTAAGTCTAGTTTACTCATATGAAATTTGAACTAAAACTTCAATCGGGAAGGCATTCAAATGAATTCTTGAAGATAACTGTGCAGTTAAAAGCGCAGTAATCTTCAAGAATTCATTTGAATGCCTTCCCGATTGAATTGTTAGTTCAAATTTGATATGAGTAAACTAGACTTAATGAATAAGATTCTCAAAAAAATTCATCAAAAAATTCCACCGGGAACCGCCCCAAATGGAGTCAACCGGACATAGCATCCTAAATATGGCCTTATTTGACATTTTTTCCCAAGTTCGAGGCCCTATCTGACCCTTATCCCTATAATATATCAAACTCTTGAAGAATCCTTTGGAGGAATTATTGACATGTGGCGCTATCCTTTATATGAAAAAATGACACGTGGCAACACAATAAATTAAAGAAAAAGCTATTCAACTTCCAAAACTGTACTCTTATGTATTACACTATTATATATGTATGTATGTATGTATGTATGTATGTATGTATAGAGGAATGATCAGGTCCATCCGGAGGAACGAGAGGTGATGTCCGAACTTTATTGTTTGGGGTAATTCCCGGTGGAATTTTTTGATGAATTTTTTTGAGCATGTTCTCATCAAGTCTAGGGTATCCACACCAAATTTCAGCTTAAAATTCGAACGGGAAGGCATTCACATAAATTCTTGAAACATACTACACATTCTGCGCACATATAATGTGCAGTATGTTTCAAGAATTTATTTGAATGCCTTCCCGATCGAATTTTGAGCTGAAATTTGGTATGGACAAACTAGACTTGATGAGGAACTTGCTTAAACAATTTCATCAAAAAATTCGACCGGGAAGACCCTCTGATGGGCTTGTCCGCTCAGGGATTCTCTTCAGGAGCTCCTGATGTGAACTGTCATCTCTCTCTCTCTCTCTCTCTCTCTCTCTCTCTCTCTCTCTCTCTCTCTATATATATATATATATATATATATATATATATATATATATATATATATATATATATATATATATATAGGGTAAGGTTCAGGTGAGAAGAACCCTTTGGGTGAGAAATAAGAATGAATCTCAGCCATTGGATTCGACTAAGTTGCATTAAAAGACACTTCATGATGCACTGAAATATGTAATCTAGCACGCTGGCATTTCTGTAATTACTACTGAAACATCCGTATTACACGTGTCTAGTGCAACATGAAGCTATTTCGGTGCAATGCCGTCAAATATTAGTGCAACATGAAACAGTTTTAGTGCAACAAGTGCAAATTTTAAATATTACCGCAACATAAAGCCAATTTTAGTGCAACTTCGTAAATCCAATGGCTGAGATTCATTCTCATTTCTCACATTAGATGCATTTCTCACCTGAACCAAAATCTACACACACACACACACACACACACACACACATACGGAGTATATATTTATAGAGGTGGATCCAGTACAAATTGTGCCTATTGTGTAAAACTTTGTACGATGCATCTTTCCGATACTTTTATTGCATATTGACTTTCAAAGTGCCGCATCTGAAAAAAAATGATTTCATTACAAAATATAGTAATTTGTTAATTATTAGGAGTTTATATTTGATCCATTATCTATATTTTTTTCTAATTTATTTACTTATACATGTGTATATATTTGTCATAATGTTTTGTATAAAATTGGGTAAAATTTTGCACTCACCGGTAGTACAAAATGCAAATACTCAAAATTAAAAAATTATTAACAAATTGTATCCTCTCTTAACATAAAAACATTACTCTATTTCTTTTTTTCATAAGCTCTTGGAGGTGCTCCATTATTCGGGAGTTTTATAAATTCGGGGTTTTTATAAATTGTTTCTTATTTCTTTGCAAAATTTAGTACTTATTAAATCATGTCACATTAATTTTAGTTTTATAAATTTACTTATTTACATATTTGGTTGTAAAACTAATTAATTTGTCGTTTTATGTGAAAAAATGACACATGGCAACACAATAAATTAAAGAAAAAGCTATTCAACTTCCAAAACTATACTCTTATGTATTCCAATATCACACACACATATGTACTTATATTTATAGACGTGGATCCAATACAAATTGTGCTTATTGTGTAAAACTTTGTACGATGCATCTTTACGATATTTTTATTGAAAATTGATGTTGAAATTGCTACATATTTTTATGCGGATTAACTTTCAAAGTGTTGCATTCGAAAAAAATCGATTTTATTACAATTTTTTTTATCATGATTTAAATACAAAATATATTAATTTGAAATTATTAGGAGTTTATATTTGATCCATTATCTATTTTTATATATGTGTATATATTTGTCATAATGTTTTGTATAAAATTGGGTAAAATTCTGCACTCACCGGTAGTACAAAATGCAAATACTCAAAAATAAAAAATTATTAACAAATTTTATCCTCTCTTAACATAAAAACATTACTCTATTTCTTTTTTTTTCACAAGCTCTTGGAGGTGCTCCATTATTCAGGGGTTTTATAAATTGTTTCTTATTTCTTTGCAAAATATAGTAATTATTAAATCATGTGTCATTAATTTTTTCCGACATTTCCTTTTTCGTTGGTTCGCTAAATTTGTGTAGTTCCAAATAATATATATATATATATATATATATATATATATATGTGTGTGTGTGTGTGTGTGTGTGTGTGTACTAAACACACAATAATTGATAAGTTTAATAAATATATTATTAAATATTTAAATCATTGTTAAACTAAAATTTCATAACTATTGAATGGTATCTCACAAAAGCACTCATTGTAAAAAATAAAGATTCAATGAGATATTTTGATTAAATATTTGAAACCACTGCTTATTAATTGTTATAAATTTATTATTATCAACTATAACATAAAATATATGCTAGAGTAATTTATTTGATAAATTATTATAGGAATATTCAAGTAATAGTTCACAAATGTTGTAAAATACGGAGTGATAAGTATATTCGAAAATAATTTTGTAGTAAACCAATATTGAAAAAAATGAAAGTAAAAATTAGATGTTTATATTTTGGGTAAGTCGCAACTTGCATGGGTCAACCCACTTAACCTGCAATCCATGCAAGTTGACCCAAGAAATCAATAAGTTCATCGGGTTAAAAAATGACAGCTCTAACCTACCATGAAAGGGGATGAAATGAGCTAGCCCTATGGACTTCGACTATTGATAGCTCTATCAATAGTCGACATAGTTTTCTTTTAAATTCAGATTGATGAATTCGCATACAATTCATTTTCCCTAAAAAGTTTTAACAAAACTTTAAACAAATAATTTTCCGTGTAGTGCATGGGTACACATGCTAGTGAAGATAAAATTGCAAGAAAGGGAATAATACTAGATTTGGAATCTATCTGCTCCATTTGTCCATTCAGGGCCGTCTAATGAATTTGGAGGTCACTCAATTCAAAATGGCGAATTGAGGCCCTCTAAAACAATAAACAATAACAAACTTAACAATGAAATACAAAAAGACTAGATAGTTAAATGAATTATAAATTTTATAATGTTTAAAATACGCAAATTAAACAATCTTAAAGTTAATATTACATCACTGATGAAGTTTCACATGAATTTTAGAATATGGTTGTACTAGCAGTTTTTGAAGCAAAATCATCAATCAAATCATTATATTTTATCTTCTCAAGAACTTTTTCTCAATTTGATATCATTGTCAAACCATTGAGTCTTTGTTGTGACATAATACACATTTTAGAATATGAACTAATACACAATATATAGAAAATTAAACCTATAACTAATACTACATACTAAATATTTGGAGCCCCCTATAAACGTGACCTCAGTGCGAAACACTTATTGCACATCCTAAAAGACGGCCATGTGTCCACTCTTTTGGTTAGATTATGTGTATGACACACATGATTTATGATGGCCCGTTGGAGAATTGGTTGGCCCATTTGTTGAGATCCCCTTCCATATTTGACATTATTTTATGAAATATATGTTTGCAACAATCATACTACGTAATACTCCCTTCGTCCCTACAATTTTGCCAAGTTTGACCGACACAAGTATTAATAAAGTAAAAACTGTGTGGTGGAGGTTTGTGCAAAGGAGAGAGAATTGACTGGAACCACAATTTCTTTACTTAAATTGAAAAGTGAAAAGTTAGTGTGAGACACCCAAAAAAGGAAAGTTGACAAAGTTTTGAGGGACAAAGAGAATATTTTATTACTTCAAAGTTATACTCATTTTTAAAAGATCATTACATTAAGTCTTGGCACAATATTTAAGGAGGAGATTGTAAGAGACTAGGGATAATCATTAGTGTAGAAAAAGTAGGAGAGAAGGTGAAAAAATATGAAAGAGAAAATAAATTGTAAAAAAAGTAAGCATAATTGAATATTTTAAAGGTAAAATTTATAAAAAATAGAATGTATAGTAAACTTTTAGATATTAGGAAAGTGTAGTAAGCTTTTAAATACGGTACATTAGAATAAACAAGAGATATTACCCAAAATAGGACTAAAAAGTAAAAATTCCAAAATAGGACTGTCATGTTTTTATTCCTAAAATAGGACTAATTACTGCCATGTTTTGGCAGTACCTGACTTCAAACACGGCAGTATTTTCCAAACTTGGCAGTAAATAGTCCTATTTTGGGAATAAAAATATGACGGTCCTATTTTGGAATTTCCAAATTTTTTTAGTCCTATTTCAGGAACTTTCCTAATAAACAATTGGGGAAAAAGTAATTATGAAAGTCGTCTTTGATCGACAGCTATACACTACGCTAGTAAAGTTAAAGTGACAAAGAGGTAATCAAATAGGGTACTTGTGTTGCGTCAACGGTGATGCAAATTAAATTAAGAAATACGGAATGTTTCGCACCTCCTAAAAGACGGTCATGTGTCCACTATAAATAAATATGAAACCTTACCTACCCACCACATTCCAACTCTCATTTCCATCCTCGCAAATTAATTAAGAAAAGAATTGCGCATAATTCCATTGTTTTTTTCTCCCTAAAATGGAAATCAAAGAAAAAGCAATATGGACTATTGTAGCAGGGAATGTTGTCGCAGCAATTTGTGGGATCATTGCACTAATCCATGTCCCTCACCAGGTATTATATAGGTAGTACTCCCGGGGCTTTGTACATATAAATTGGTTAAGAATTTGATTTATTGACGATATATGTCTTGCAGGTAGACATTGGGAGTCGGGTTATAGCAGCAATCAGTATAGTTTGTGCCGTTATAGCTCTTATTGTTCTTGGATATCAAGCAGGCCGCAGAATCCTATCGCCTAGTTGGGTCAACGCGCTTTATTGGGTCACATGGTATAAAATGCCTTACAAATTACATACTCCGTATATGCTAATTAAAAATGCCTTGCAAATTACTCCGTATATGCTACTGTGTTTAAAAATGCTTACAAATTACGCCCCTAAATTATTGTGTGAAGCTTTGAACGTAGTCACGTAGACATATGTGCACGCAAGACACAAATTACACCAAATTATACTGTGTGATCGTTATGCCATGAGAACGGTGTACCGTTCCCACGAACAAAGCACTAATACGTATTTCCTTTCTTTCTTTTTCTTCCTTGGAAAATTGGAGTGTATCAATTTTTTTTTGGCTTTTTATTCATTATTTCTCTTATTTTTCTTATCTTCTCCTTCTACATCAAAGTATAATTAAAAACGTAATTGCAATTTTACTTTTCTTTATATTCAACTTAAATCACAACTCAATCTATTTTTTTTATTCTTTATCAATTCATAACAATAACTTTATTACCTAAATAAAATAAGTATATTGCATTTCACATTCATACACTATTTTTATTTCTGAAATACTTTTATATTTAGTACACTTTTTGTAAACAAACTCAATTTCATACACTTTTTTCTATAATACTAGTATATAATTTTCTCTTTTATGTATTTTTAAAGCTTTTAATTTTTAAGAAATTGAGTTTGTTTATTTTGATTCCTGGAGTTACATTTGATAGTATATATAATTACATCTTCTTATGCGCGACTGCGCGAGTCACATCTTCCTTTGCGCAAATTACATCATTTGAGCAAGTTACATCTTTTTATGCGCGAATTACATCTTTTTATGCGCAAACTACATCTTTTTATGCAAGTTACATTTTGCATACACGGAAGTTACAATTTTCATTAACGCGAGTTTCATTTGTCATGAGTTTCATCACAAAATAAGTAAATAACCCCTGTTATTTAAATAAAAATATGACTACTTTTAAATCATTTTTATAGTCCCGATATTAAAAGCAAAAGATATTCACTATTTACTTAAAGTAATATGATTTTGCAGTATACTTCATTCATTCTTAATTTGGGAAGTATTATTGTTTTTCTCTAATGGAACGAACTCAGCGATGTAAATCTTTTTTGTGAATAATTTCTGTACATATTACTCGTATTATACGAGTAATATGAGTAATATGTTCAAACTGTTCAATTCAATAAAGAAATATAAACTAAATTTATAGTTTATAGGACAAAAGTAATATCATGTGACATATATACCTTATATGTGCAAAATTGACAAATATTATTTCTGAGATAATATTCATATTAATCATAATCATTTATTGTGTTTGATGATTATAAAACCCTTTTTAAAATATATCCTATTTTATTTTACACCATTGATTACATATATAACACAAATGTCACTATTCATAATAGTTGTTTAATGATAAGTGGGATTTGTAGTCCTAATTCCAATCTTGTACGATGAAAATAATGAAAATAACTTGGACAAAAATTAGTTTTTTTATCATTGGACAAAAGTTAGTTAATAAATAAGTTTGGTGGTAGCAAAAAAAGAAACAAAAATTCTACTAAATAGAAAGACAGCCGTTGGGTTGCTTTGATAAACAAAAAATGCTATAAATACTTAAATACAACTAAAAATAATCAAAATGCATAAATAGGACTTTATGTTTGCAATTCGCTAAACATGATTTATTTGGTCATATTAAAAGAATATAACTTTGTTAATTAGGATTCCATGAGTACTAATTTAGAAAGAAACAATGATGATCATATTTGTGCACTTCATCAATGTTTTAATCCTATTTAAGGAATTTACTAAAAAATTATACGGAGTAAGACTAGAGAAAATTGTCATGGCTAAGACAAAAACATAGATTTTCCCTATTTGGTTTTCCCTAAATAGGACTAACCTTACCACTTTACCCCTAATTCTATATAATTAATTAATTGATCTAAATAGTTGCCCCTCCTAGTTTCCTTGCACAACCAAGGCAATCCGTGGTGGCGGCAACACTCTAGCAGCCGGTCAGCGGCGGATTCCAGCGGCGAACTCCGGCAATTAATTAACCCAATTAATTTCCCCCTAGTTCTCTTGCACAACCAAGGCAGTCCGTTGGTAGCGAACTCCGGCGGCGGCAGCTCAGCGGAGAACTCCGGCGGCGGCGGCCAGCGGTAGAATTGTTGGCAGAAGTCCAGAAAAAAGTTCTGGAAATTTTTCCGACGGTGGTTGCCGGAGCTCCGGCGGCAGCTGGTGGTGGTCGGCGCCGGTGGCAGGCAGTTGGCAGCAGTCCAGGGGTAGCAATACGGGTATTTTGGTCCAATCACACATAAAAAGTCCTATTTAAGAATGTTTAAACTAAGTGGTCCTATTTTGAGAAAAATTACATGTTTAACTCGTACTAGTGTAAAAGCCCCGTAAAACTATTAGTTGTTGAGGGGATTGGAGCCCTGAAACTCTGCGAAGCAAGGGAGCTTTGGGGAAGTGCACATGATCGCTCTGTCAATCCGTTCTGTTGTTGATTTAACAGTACTGTTTATATGTACTCCCTCCGTCCTGAAAAGGTTGGTCAAAGTTGACTTTCACGTGGATCAATAAAGTAAAAACTGTGTGGTTGAAATTTGTGTAGAGGAGAGAGAATTAACTTTAACCACATACTCCCTCCGTCCCACTGGACTTTGTCAACTTTCCCCTTTTGTTTGTCCCAAAAAACTTTGCCACTTTCCCTTTAAAGCAATGAATTTGTGGCTCTGTTCATTTCTCTCTCCTCTGCACAAATCTCAACCACATAGTTTTTACTATTCTAATTTCTCACCTTACATCAACTTGGCAAAGTTGAGTGGGACGGAGGTAATATTTCTTACTTTAAATGGAAATGGCCAATCTTATTAGGACATCCAAAAAAAGAAATTTGGCCAACCTTTTCGGGACGGAGGGAGTATATTTTTTGATTAGTTTTGTAGGGTCCCGAGACCCTATGCCTGTGAAACACAGAGTGGGTCCGCCACTACTCATTCTTTACACACACATATGGGAATTTCTCTAAATAGAATTAAAAACATTTGTGTATTTTAAAATACGATTGTCAAGTTTTTATTCCATAAATAGGAGTAACTACTATTATGTTTTGACAGTACCTCACTTTGAACATGATAATATTTTTCAAGTTTGACAGTAGTTACTGTTATTTGGGAAATAAAAATATGACAGTCCTATTTTGAAATTCTCACAATATGTATATGTAGAGTCAGTGGTGGATCCACAAGGGGCAGGGGGCAGTTGATCCCTCTCAACCCCCACCCGACCCCCATATATTTGTATACAAAATATATTAAAAGTAATACTCACTCTGTCATTTAAAACTTTGTCATCTTTCCCTTTTAGGACGTCTCAAAAAACTTTGTCACTTTCCCTTTTAAGCAATTATTTTGTGGTTTCTGTTATTTATCTCTCCTCTGCACAAACTTTAACCACATAGTTTTTACTTTATTATTCTTCGAGCTAGTCAACTTTGGCAAAATTTTACTAGACAGAGGTAGTATAACATATCATTTCTCTATATTATAACTCCTCTCTCTCTCTCTCTCTCTATATATATATATATATATATATATATATATAAGTAAAACAAATAGCATATTTGAACTATGACAGGAAAATTCTCGAAATACGAGTATAGTTATTTTGGAGCCGTAAAAAAGGACTGTAATATTTTTATTCTCTAAATATAAATAATCACTGTCAAGCTTGAAAAATATCAAAATACTACCTTATTTTAAGTCTGATACTACCAAAATATGAAAATAATGACTCATATTTAGCGAATTAAAATATATCAATCCTATTTTGGAATATAGAAACATTTTTAATTTTATTTAGAGCATTCTTAAACTCATTCAATTAACCTAGAAGTGTGGGTTCAATCCCTGCGCCTACTTTTTCTTTCATATACTATGTACGTAGTATTCCCTCCGTATTTAAATGTTCTCTACACTAGTTTTGGTCACAATTTTTTAGGATAGAATAGTAGGTGTAGTGAATAGTGTAGAAAAAATAGAAAGAATGTGTAAAAGTATGAAAGAGAAGATAAAAAATAGATAAAGTAATGGTAGTTGAGTATTTTTATAAAGGGAAAACTTACCGAAAAATGGACGTGTAGGGAACTTTTAAATACAGACCAAAAAGAAAACGGTAGGGAACTTTTAAATACGGAAAGAGTATTTTGCTTTTACATTTTTATAAGGGAGAATTTGACTTTGCACCCCATTTTTTGGGTGATATTGGACTTTGCACCTCATTTAAAAAAAAACTTTGACTTTACACCCTATTTCACTTAAAAATCCTTTGACTTTGCACCCCTTTCATAAATTTTTCTTCACAAAATGTTATGTGTTGGGGTGCAAAATCAAAGTTTTTTCAAAATGGAGTGCAAAGTCCAATATCACCCACAAAGTGGTGTGCAAAGTCAAATTCCCCTTTTTGTAACTATTTGGATATTTGTGTTTAATTTTAGTCCTAGTTTAATCCTTTATAAATGCTTCAAACAACAACAATTTTTACTTTGACAAACAAGTGGTCCAGTTTTTGTAATATACTATAAATTTGTAATATATTTTTTTTTTAATATTTTTTAATACATGATTTCACTACATAAAAATACATGATTGTGCATTTGCAACTTAAATTATTCTAATGGCATGCATTAGTCAATTTATTTTTTATCAATATAATTTCACTAAAGAGCAAGCAATGTTATTGATATGGAACATTTCTTACTCCGTATTATTGAAGAGAAATAATATCAACCATACAAAAAATCCCTAATATGTTACTTCATCTGCCCTTATAATTGTCCCATTTTTCAATTCTTGGATGTCCCCCCTATTATTGTCTCATACCATATTAATAGGCTAATATAATTAGGAATCTACCTAATAGATATTTAGGAATCTATTAGGTAGATTCCTAATTATATTAGCCTATTACATATTTGGTAACATTTTTGTGACTCTAATTCATTCTTACTTTATTTCCACTTTATCAACACATTATCAAGCACATAATTCCATTTTTTTTTAAATCACACCACTCCCTTCCGTCTCAATATTAGGGGGACGGAGGTACTAATATATTACTCCTTATTTGAAAGAAACGGAGAGTTATGTCCTAATGTTATTGTTGATTAAAAGCTAATTAATTATAGTTCATCTGACAATGTCGTGTTTATAATGTGATCGAATACCTATGAATTACGTGTGACAATGTATACTACATATACAATTTTCCCCATTGAAAATATTCCATTGTGCACACGGTACATATTTAATTATATTTGTGGGAAATGCAAATATAGGGTATGTACCATCACAGGAGGTATCTCTATAGTCGCACGATTTATCACCCCCGTTGGAGGTCTTTGCTTCTTGGCCGCGCTCTTTGCTTGGTGGTACAACTGCAAAATAGCTCCGGACTCTTCGTGATCGTCACCAAATGTTCAACTTCGATCTCTTCATGAGTAATAATACAATACTCACAAAATTACGTACTCAAGAAAGGCTAATCTATCTATGTTTCGTTCATCATCACTAATCACTATGTTAGCCTGCCTGGACGGCTAATTCATGTTCTCGCCTATATGTAGCCCTCACAATATATACATTTTGTCTTTAATTTGTTTCTCTTGTAGACTTGTAATTGAATCTGGCTCGAATGTGTATGTATTGTCCGATTGGTATCATGGTATGATGCAAATTCAGTAATGTTACGTCTCCACTATAAAAGCAGAATCAAATTTTATGCATAGTTGTATTTTCTATGTACTATATTCACAATTACTTTCTATTTATTCAAAATAAAACGCTCCTACTGTCCTACATCTTTTGGTAGGCTACAACATAATGCCTACAAAATAATGCACAACTCACAATGATATGAAGTGTTCAATTTATTTACAAAATTGTCACTCTATTTTCTCATTCATTATAGTGCACATTTTTTTTGTTTTAACTCACTCAACATTCTCATTTGATCCAAATTCTATCCACATATGAATTGAAGTATGAAAATTAAGAAAGCAATTCAATGCAAAGAGAATTTGATAGAGTTTTTTTGAAAGAAGATAACTTATTTATTAATCATGAAAGTAACAAGAGATAAAGCAATACAATAACTCAAGGCTACATTGTGATGAGACATTAAATTGATCAATCTCCAAGGACCGATCGTATTCGCTAAACCCGCAACGATGTAGACTAATCTAACAACACGGCTAAACTTGCTACTAAAATGGGAGTAAATTAAACAAGAATTCTTTAAATAAAAGCACGCAACAAAATAATTTAAACATCCCGGTTTTATCAACCACTAGGAAGGAGAAGAGGTTTGTCCGTCCACCTCCAAAAGAAGCATCCTGATTTTACCAGCCACCGGGATGAGAGAAGAGGTTTGACCAGTCACCTCCAAAGGAATCATCTCGTATACGGGACCTGTCAGTATTTCAGGCAATGTTATTCCGGAAGCACCGCCACCTTGTCGTTTTTTAATCCCTCACCTTCAAGCTCCTCTATTGACATCCTTTCATGGCATGATTTAAGCTCTCCATTAATGGCCAACAAAATGAATGTCGGATCCTAGATAGAAAAGAAGATGTCGCAAAAGTCACGATCAAATGCCCAAACAAGTTCACAATTGGAACAGACCAAATCATCGGCCAGAGAAACTCAGTCGGACAAAATTCTCGGCAACACCGCCGGGCAACCACCTCAACCAAAGCACCTCAACGAAGTAGCACAGAACGAAAAATCGTACCTATACACACAGTCGATTGTCGAGCATACCCTGTGGAGGCCGTGATTATAGCCCCGTACCCCGCCTCTGCATCGTTTGATCGCTACGCATAAGGAGCCAGACGAACGCTCCACGCTAGGGTTACCTCCTCTTAACTTGTAATTTGGTATTGCTTTTGTGTATTGAAATAATGTACTACTATAAGTGAATATAGACTTATTTATTGGTATTTACGATGTATGTCCACAATCTAACTATTTCTATTTGGGCCTACTTGCCAATCAATGGGCCGATCGATCGGCCCCATTAGGAACTGGGCATCTTGGGTCGGTCATGGGTTGCCAATTCGTGTAATAGGCCTGGCTATGTTGCTCCTGAGCTTTGGGCTGAACGACCCATCATGATTTGTTTTGCCCCACAACCCCATCAACACCTGTAAATAGAATATTTGTAAAGGAGTAAAGTAATGCAAAAATGTAAAAATAAACATTAGTAGTTTCAATTGGTTTGTCTTCCAGTCTTCTTCTTCTCGTTGCAACGGCCAACAATGACAATTCTAGAAGTCGCTGTCTCTGCGCAGCAAAAGGACGAGGTGCTGCATTCGTGTTGGAGGAGAAGAGATCGTTGCGAGTAGTGAGGGTGGCGATGAGCAGCGAGCCTAGTGTGAATGACGATTAAAGAAGCGAACCGAGGTTTTAAGAAGCACGTCATGAAGGAAAAGCCCAGTTGTACCGTGCGCACAGTACAACCGGATGTACGATATAATGTGCAAGATTTTGGGCTCGGAAGAGTTTAAGAAAAATACAAAAAGAAACAAAATCAAAATAAATTCATCAAAAAGGGGAGAATAAGGAATGAGCTAGAACATATGAGTAGGAAGACAAAAAGAAGAAGTAATGTGATGCGTACTGCGTAGGATGTTTTTACTTGGAAATAAATTTGTTGGTCCGGTCTGATCTGGTGATTCTGGTCTGGTCTGATCTAAACTGAACTGGTAATAAACGTCTGATTTCTGTGTATTTTATAATTATCCAAGGCTGATCTGGTCTGATGATCTGGTTTAATGGTTTGATCAGGAATTATAGTCCAACTACTCTTCCGTGCACAAATAACCGAATACTACGGGTTATAAGTTCGAGAAATCTCCCATGGAGTGATGGAGATTCTAGTCCTTGCGCCTTACTCCGGCCATAGTGTCTATAGACACAGACAATCCTCCCCTCCTTCTCTTTCTCTTCCTTCTCTTCTCATCCTTTTTCCTCCTCCTCAGGCCTCCCTCCACCCTCCTCATCCTCCTCTATTCTATGCTCCTCTTGCATTTATTATTATTTTATGTTAATGTATTCAAACAATTTTTCGATTCTAAATGGAAATTTTATTTTTGAGTTGAAAATTTTGAATTCAAAACATTTGGGTATGAATTTTCAAGGGTCTTGTTCAAAAATATTGTGTTTATTATTGTGTATCTTTATCAACTTGTAAGAAATGCCACATTTATGGCATTTTTATGGACATGGAAATATGGCATCTTTGAAAATGCTATAATTTTTACATTTTTTCACAAATTGTGGCATTTTTATGGCATTGGATTGAATTTATTTGCAACATTACTTTTTCATTTTTCTTCTCCTATTTCACATTTTCGAGTCTAAAATGTGAAAATGCCATAATTTGTAATCTGGAAATTTCATGTTTTTGCATGTAGAAATGCCATTTTGTTGTCATCCATTTATATATAAGAAAAGAAAATAGCTCATAAACTACATTTTTATACATTCAATATTGATCTCATATGAAAGATCACAAAAAATTACTCCCTCCGTCCCCGAAAGAAGTTCCTCATTTGACTTTCACACACTTTTATGCAAGTAAACTTACAAGGGGGTAAATTTTACTGTTTTGACACTATTTCGACACTGTTTGGCACTGTTTGACACTGTTTTGCACTGTTTGGCACTGTTTTGATGTAGATAACTTTCCATTTAAGGAAATGGGAACTTAAATTAGGGACATCCAAATATGGAAAGTGAGAACTTCTTTCGGGGACGGAGGGAGTATGAATTTTGATATATTTTTTGTAAAAATTGGAACAAAATTGAAAAAGTAAAAACACTTTAAAGAAAATTGGGTTTTTTTTATAGATTGGGCCCCACCAAGTGATCTCCTACGGCTTGCTCCCTTCTATTTCATTGGAGAAATTCGGTACTTTGAGTTAAATGGCCACATGGCATTGCTATAGGAAATGCGTAAATTAAGGAGAGCAAGACACATAGACACATAGGATTCATTAAGGATAAAATGGATAAATGGATATCCTTTGTTAACCAATTGTGATGTTAGTGGAATGACGGAAGAGTTACACTTGTTGCCTTGGGACGCAAGTGCCATTTTTTTTGTTTTTTGTTTTTTTCAGTTTATCTGTTAACACTTAGTCCCAATTTTGCTTAATTCTGGATACTTTTGTTTGAGTGTAGTCTCAATATTTTCTTCATTTAGCATGTAAATGAGTGATTATTAACAAAATTTTCCTGAATGTGCAAATTACATAATTAATATTTCTTACTTCCTCCATCCCGAATTGGTTAACAATTTGTGATTTATAAGGTTGGGTGATGATGAAATTAAATTATCTTTATGGATAATCAAATCAATTTTAGTAGTTAAAAGTTACATATTTGAAACCTGAAATGAAATTTTTATAAAATTGAAAAATCTAGATTACAATATACGAGTAATAAAAAAAATTACTCCGTATATGCTAAATTAGTAAGTAGAATGAAACTGTGTTTACTAAGAAAATTAACTTCGCAAATCTTTTTTGAGGCGGAAGGAGTACTATTAATGTGAAGTTACACAAACAATAAAAAGTTTTTCTTAAATGAAGTGTAATACGGAGTAATATTTTTGGACGACATGAAAAGTAAAATATGTATTTGTGAAGTGCATATGATATTAATTTTCATAGTGAATATTTGATCCCCCCCAAACGAAATTCTGGATATGTCACTGACTCTTCTTACTATTGAATAAGGGATAATTCCCTGAATAGGACTAAATCAATGTTGAAGTGCACAAATAAGACTCATATTTCATATGATCATACATCAACTGATTAGACAAAATTGCTCTTAATGAAATTATAGGTTAAATAAAAAAATTAAAACCCTTCCCCCCAGCTGCCTCATTCGATGATGCGTATTGTTGAACTCCAAACTGCTGACAACTTCAGCAACTTTTGTGCACGATCGTCGCTGTCGAGACCAACGCCGCAGTTAAGTGAGACTGCCGCCACTGTTGCCGTCGAGATTGCCGTTGCACACCTCTGGGAGGCGACTTGCTCCGTCCCATAGCGAATATGGTGCCACAACTTAATTCTTCTCCGGAGATGTTGGCATCTTTTTAGTCACACGGTCACGCCTACCTCCTCTGGAGTGTATGGTATCAATTTCAGGCAAATTTGCAATTATGATAACAATTGAGCGGGAGAATGTTATTGCTCATATGTATGTAGTGCTTTTAGGTATTAGTATTAGAAGATAAACTTGCTAACAGTTTAACGGAATAACTTTCCTCCTCATATGTAGTTTTAAGTATAAGATAAGAAGACTAAACAATTGAGCGGGATAATTTTCTCTCTTATATGTAGTACTTTTAGGCATATCAGAAGAAGCCAAGATAAACTTCAAAACAATTAAGTGAGATAACTTCCATTCCCACGGGTAGTTCTTCTTAAGTACTGTATATATAATAATCCGGCTAAACATTGAGAGTGAAAATTTTCTCTTCCACATGTAGTGCTTTTAGATATAACATAAGCCGACTAATAATTGAACGGGGGAATTTTCTCTCTCATATGTAGTCTTTTTAGATATGACAAGATAAGCCTGCTTGCTAATAATTAAGTGAGAATTTTCTCTCTTTCATATGTAGTGCTTTTAGTTATTAGAAGATAAAGTTGCTAACAATTGAGCGGGA